ATTGAGGACACAACAATGTAAAATCTGTGGGACACTGGAAAAGCAATCCTTAGAGAGAAATTCATAGTATTGCAGGCCTATCTCAAACAAACAAACAAACAAACAAACAAAATCTCAAATAAAGGATCTAACTACACACTTAAAGTAATTAGAAAAGGAACAACAAACAAAGCCCAAAGTGAGTAGAAGGAAGGAAATAAGAAATATCAGAGCAGAAATAAATGAAATAGAGTAAAAAAATGGTACAGAATATCAATGAATCCAAGAGATGATTCTTTGAAAAGATAAACAAGATTGACAAACCTTTACCAGACTCATCAAGAAAAAAAGAGAAAGGACCCAAATAGAATCAGAAATGAAAGAGAAGAAATGACAACAGACACCAAAGAAATAAAAAGGATTATAAGAAAACATTATGAACAACTCCATGCCAACAAACTGGACAACTTGGATGAAATGAATAAATTTCTAGGAGTATACAATCATTTGAAAATAAATCAGAAAGAACAGAGAATATGAATAGACAAATTATACTTAGTGAAATTGAAGCAGTAATAAAAAAACACCAAAACTCCCAACAAATAAAAGCTCTGGACCAGAAGTCTTCACAGGTGAATTTTACCAAACATTCTAAGAAGAACTAACATCTTTCTTCTCAAACTATTTCATAAAATTCACTAAGAAGAAAGGATCCCTAGTCATTTTACAAGGCCAAATGATCTTACTTCCAAAACCAAATAAGGATATTACAAAGAAAGAAAATAATAGGCTAATATCCCTGATGAACATAGATACTACACTCCTCAATAAAATATTAGCAAGCTGAATACAGCAATGCATCAAAAAGATCATACACCATGATCCAGTAGGATTTATTCTGGAAATGCAAAGTCGGTACAACATTCACAAATCAATAAATGTGATTCACCACATAAACAAAATGGAGGCTAAAAACCATGTGATCATATCAATAGATGCAGAAAAAGCTTTTGATAAAGTCCAGCACCCATTTATGACAAAAACTCTCGGCAAAGTGGGATTAGAGGAATCATACTTAAACATAATAAAGACCATATATAACAAACTCCTGCCAACATCATACTCAGTGGGAAAAATCTTCCAGTGTTCCCTTTAACATAGGGAACAAAATGGATGCTCACTTTTACCTCTCTTATTCAACAAAGTACTGGAAGCCCTAGCCACATTATTCAGACAAGAAGAAATAAAAGGAATCCAAATTGAAAAGGAAGAAGTAAAATTGTCATTATGTGTAGATAATATGATACTGTACACAGAAACCCCAGATTACACCAAGAATCTACTAGAAATAATAAATGAATTCAGCAAAGTAGCAAAATACAAAATTAATACCCAGAAATTAGTTGCATTTTTTATGTGCCAATAACAAACTAACAGAAAGGGAAGTTAAAATACAATCCCATCATATCCCCAAACACGTCTTAAAAAACACCTCCCCAAAAATCAAACCTCTGGGCTACATAATTGCTTCAAAAAGAATAAAATACCAAGGAATAAACCTAGCCAAGGATGAAAAAGAACTGTACTCAGAAAATTAGAAGACTCTGAAGACAGAAATAGAAGAAGATACAAATAAGTGGAAGCACATACTGTGTTCATGGATAGGAAGAATTAACATCATTAAAATGTCCACACTACCCAAACCAATCTATAGGTTCAGCACAATTCCTATAAAAATTTCAATGATGTATTTCATAGAAGTAGAACAAATATTTCAAAAATTTATATGGATCCACAAGAGACACTGAAGAGCAAAAGTGATCTTGAGAAAGAAGAACTAAGTTGGAGGAATCACACTACCTAATATTAAACTATACTATAAGGTTATAGTAATCAAAACACCATGTAGTGACATGAAAAAAGACACATAGATCAATGGAACAGAACAGAGAGCCCCCAAATAAACCCACACTTTATAGGTAATTAATATTTGACAGAGAAAGCAAGCACATACAATAGGCTAAAGATAGTTTATTCAATAAATGGTGTTGGGAAAATTGGACAGATACATGCAGAAAATTTAAACTAGACCACCTTCTTACACCACACACAAGAATAAATTAAAATTTTTTAAGATGGTGGTGAGATAGGTGGGAGTGGAGTCCACTTCCCCCTGCACACAGGTGGAACACCTGCCCAATCTTCTGAGGAGCAGAGTGAACAGTCAACAGTATCCAAGCATATATGAAGATGGGAGGCCAAAATTGTAGAAGACATTGAAAAATCAGACAGTAAGGAGAGTGCTTTGGGACAATAAGGTCCCTGGGAGCAGCATGAGGACCAGGGTGGCTGCAGCCCCAGGCCCGGTGCCCACTGGGTATGCTGCAAGATTCTTAGGAGAGAGCCAGGTTAATGGCTCCCTCCCCTGCCAAACAAGGTTTGAGCAGCACCAGGATGGACCTGGATGCTTGAAGTCGGTGGGGGAATAGGGAGGAAGTGGCAAACACACAGAGGCAGTGTGCACCCACTGAGACTGTGGACGCCAGCTGGGAAGAGTTGGGCCGTGTTGGGCCCTGACCCTGATAGTCCCCGGTCTGGTTGAAGAGTTGGGCTATGTGAAAGGCCAGGCCCTTGTATGGAGCATTATGCTTGAGCAGGAGGAATTTTTCAGACAGAAAAATAAAGAAAAGAGGCACTCAGCAGCTGTATGGGGAATCGTCCGGCGGGCAGCCACCCCTGCCTCCCCTAGCTGCACCAGAGCAGCCTGAGCAGCCTCTGCAGCCTCAGCCCCGGCCCCAGCCCACCTCTGCTGCCATGACCACGACTGCACCCCTAACCCCAGCCACATCAGCAAACCAAGAGGTGCGCCACTGACCCAGCCAAACCCCACCCAGCCAACCCCCACCCTGCCCTGGTTGCCACCACAGCGGCTGCATGCTCACACATGACACCCTGGGACAGTGTGTGCCCAAACCCCTAGCCCAGCGGCTGCCCATCCCACCCCAACAGCGGAGGCTGAATGCTCACACGGGCAGCGCCAGGGACTTCGCACACCTGAACCTGCGTCCCAGTGGCTGCCAGTCCCACCCTAGGTGCTGAGGCCAAGAGCTCACATCCCCAGCCCCTGGAACAGAGTGAGACTTACCCCGACACTCACAGTCATATTGCGCCCAACCCCACCCACCCCTCTCGGCTTGCTGCAGCCAGGAAGATCAGCAGAACAGATTTTGCTTGTTTAAAGCCAGCAGGAGCACCCTCCCACTTTTTAAAGTTGCTTCTTATTTTCTTTCCTTCTTTCTGTCTTTATTCCTTCTTCCTTCCTTCCTTTCTTTTTTCCTTCCCTTCCCCCCCTTTTATAATTCCCACTTTTTTTTTATTCTCACAAGTGAGACAATAAAAGGTGGAGCTGTGAAAGGACCAGAGTTAAACCTAAAGAGGGGTCATCCCAACAACTGAGGCAGTAAGACAAATTTCACTTTGCAACTCCAGAGAACTTGCAGGTTATTGTATATTTGTATTATTATCATTTTTCATTATTTTTACTTCTTTTATTTTATTAGTATTTTTTATTTCTCTTCTTTCTGTTTAGTCTTCTTTGCTTGGCATGTTAAAATGCACTGTTTGACTGGTTTCCCTTTTTCTCTCTTTCATAGTGTATTTTTAATTTTCTGTCTTTCACTTCACTTGTGTTCCAATAGCCACTAGTCTAGGTCCTGTACTTCCTATTCTTGTTTTTCAGATCACATAGATTCTGTCATGTGGTAGTTGCTCCATTACTATTGTAAATAAATGTGGTTCCATACTATTGTAAATACCCCACAGCACCCCTCTCGGATCTTACTTCACTGTTTTTAGAACTTCAATACTGTTGTGGTTAATTCTATTCTCTCACACACCACACCTATTTTTTATCCTTTATACTCACTTCATAATCTGACCTCCCACAAGCTCACTGTTTTCTAGCTCCAACTCACAACGCTTCCCCACCCCCAATGAGAGTCATATATTTTCCACCCTTTCTAAAAAGTGGCTACTTCAGTGAAATATCACAGTTGACATTGTACATATCCAAAGGAACTTTTATCTCTTCTCTATGGGTTGGTACTTTAAATACCATAGAATACATTTCTGTTGTCTTAGACCATTTTGCCTTCCCCCTCCAACTGAACACAAACAAACAATGAGAAGACAAGGAAACAATCCCCGAATGAGAGGAAAGTAGGAAGCTTCAGATAAAATACTAACTGAAAAAGAGGCAAGTAAACTATCATATACTGAGTTCAAAGTAATGGTTATCATGAAGCTGAATGAACTCACAGAGAATTACCAAAAACTATAGGGAAACTACAATGAACTCACTGCAAACTGTATCAATATGAAAAAGACAATAGAAACTATCAATAAGTAGCAAGAAACAATGAAGATTACAATTTATGCTTTGAAGAACACAGTGCAAGGAATCAAAAGCAGGCTAGAGCAAGCAAAGAATCGATCAGTGAGCTGGAGGACAAGGTACAAAGAAACACCCAGAAAGAGCAAGAAAAGAAAAAGAGACTCAGAAAGAATGAAGAAGGGTTAAGAGAAATGCAGGAAAACATGAAATGTAATATATTCATATAATAGAGATACCAGAAGGAGGAAAAAAGAGGAGTAAGGAATAGAAAACCTGTTTGAAAAAGTAATGATGGAAATCTTCCCTAATTTAATGAGAGAAAACTCACACAAATCCAGGAAATGCAGAGAGTCCTAATCAACAGGAACACAGAGAGGCCCACTTCAAGACACATCATAATTAAAATGGCAAAATTCCAAGACAAAGACAAAATCCTAAAAAGAGCAAGGGAAAAATAGAAAGTGACTTACAAGGGAGCCCTGGTAAGACTAACAGCTGACTTCTCAAAGGAAACACTTTAAGACAGAAGGGAACAGCAACAATTACAAGTAATGAAAACCAAGGGGCTACAACTGAGGGTACACTATCCAGCAAGGCTCTCAATTAAAATGGAAAGCCAAATAAGAACCTTCTAGGACAAAAGAAGCCTCAAAGGATATATTTCCCCAAACCAGCTCTGCAAAACATGCTAAATGGTCTGCTTTAAGAACAGAAAGAAAAACAATAAGAGAGGGAGGAACACAAGTACAAAAAATGGAAATGAATAAGTACCTATCAATGATAACATTAAAGGCAAATAGATTAAATGCTTCAATCAAAAGACATAGAATAGCTGAATAAATAAGAAAGCATGACTCACACATATACTGCCTACAAGAGACCCATCTCAAAACAAAAGACTACACACACTGAAAGTGGAGGGCTGGAAACAAATATTCCAAGCAAATAGACAGGAAAAAAAGCAGGAGTTGCATACTCATATTAGACAAAATAGACGTCAAAAAAAGGGGGAGGGCATAAAAAGAGACCCAGAAGGTCACTTCATAATACTCAAGGGAAGAATCCATGAAGAAGACGTAAACATTGTAAATATGTATGCACCCATCATAGGAGCACCCAAATACATAAAGAAAATCTTGGAGGACTTCAGGAAAGATATTGATAGCAACACAATTATACTAGGGGATTTTAACACTCCACTGTCACAAATGAATAAATCTTCCAAACCAATATCAACAAAGATACTGTGGCATAGAATAATGTCCTAGATGAAATGGATTTAACTGATATATATAGAGAGAATTTCATCCCAAAGAAGTAAAATACATATTCTTTACAAATGCACAAGGAACATTTTCAAAGGTACATCACATGATAGAACACAAAACAAGCCTCAACAAATTCAAGAAAAGGGAAATCATATCAAGCATTTTTTCAGACCGCAGGGACTGAAACTAGAAACCAACCTCAATGAAAAAACTCAAAAACACTCAAACTCAGGGAGATTGAATAACATGCTATTAAACAATGAATGGGTCAGGAATGTGATTAAGAAAGATATCAAAAAGTTTCTGGAAACAAAAAAAAAAGTTTCTGGAAACAAATGAAAATGAACTCACAACATCCAAAACTTATGGGACACAATGACGGCAGCTCTGAGAGGGAAGTTCATACTGATACAGGCCCACCTAAAAAAGATAGAAACATTTCAAATAAATAACCTAACCCTACATCTACAAGAATTGGAGAAACAACAACAAAGACAGTCCAGAGCAAGTAGAAGGAAGGAAATAACAAAGATCACAGCATAATTAAACAACATAGAGACTAAAAGCACAACTCTAAGGACCAATAAATCCAGGAGCTGCTTCTTTGAAAAGATAAATAAAATCGACAAGCCTTTAGGCATACTCATCGAGAAAAAGAGAGAGAACCCAAATGAGCACAATCAGAAATGAAGGAGGAGAGATTACAACTGATACCACAGAAATACAAAGGATTGTAAGAAATTACTATGAAGAAGTGTATGCCAAGAAATTTGAATGTCTAGGTGAAATGGACAAAATTATAGAAAAATATAATTTTCCAAAACTGAGTGAAGAAGAAGCAGAAAGCCTGAACAGAACAATAACAGCTGATGAAATTGAAACAGTAATAAAAAAACTCCCATCACACAAAAGCCCTGGACCACACTGTTTCACAGGAGAATTTTTAAAAAGCATTTAAGGAAGAGATAACCCCTATCCTTCAAGATCATTCCAAAAAAATGCAAGAAGATGGAAGACTCCCAAACTCTGTTTATGAAGCTAGCGTCATCCTAATCCCCAAACCAGATAAAGATATAACAAAGAAAGAAAACTTCAGGCCAATATTACTGGTGAACATACATGCTAAAATCCTCAACAAAATATTGGCAAACTGCATCCAGCAATACCTTAAAAATATCATACACCATGACCAAGTGGGATTCATCCTAGGGATGCAAGGATGGTTCAATATTCACAAATCAATAAATGTAATACATTACATAAATAAAAGCAACAACATAAATCATATGACCATATCAATAGATGCAAAAAAAGCATTTGATAAGGTGCAGCATCCATTTATGATAATAACATTCAACGGAGTGAGAATAGAAGGAGTATTCATCAACATAATAAAGGCCTTATATGAGAGACCAACAGCCAACAGCATATTCAATAGGCAAGAACTAAAACTTTCCTCCTAAGATTAGGAGCAAGACAAGGATGCTCACTTTCACCACTTCTATTCAAAATAGTATTGGGAGACCTCCCCACAGCAACCACACAAGAAAAAGAAATAAAAGTCATCCATACTGGAAAGGAGAAAGCAAAACTGTCATTGTTTGCAGATGACATGATAGTGTACATAGAAAATCCTATAGACTCCACCAAAAAGCTACTCGACCTAATAAGTAAATTGGGCAAAAGAGCGAGATACAAAATCAATATCCAGATACCAAAGGCATTTTTTGTACACCAATAATGAAATATCAGAAACATAATTTATTAAAACAATTTTATTTGCTATAGCAACAAGAAAAAATAAAGTACCTAGGAAGAAACCTAACCAAGGAGGTAAAAGTCCTACACTCTGAAAACTACACAACACTGAAGAAAAAAAGTAAAAGAAGACATAAACAAATGGAAGCATGTACATGCTCATGGATTGGAAGAATTAACATCATCAAAATGTCCATACTATCCAAAGCAATTTATAGATTCAATGCAATCCTTATTAAAGTGCCGATGACATATTTCAGAGATATAGAGCAAACACTTCAAAAATGTATGTGAAATTATAAATGACCCTGAATACCTGCAGCAATTTTAAGAAAGAAAAACAAAGTAGGAGGTATCACAGTACCTGACAACAAACTGTATTACAAGGCCACTGTAATCAAAACAGTCTGGCGGTACTGGCATAAGAACAGACACATAGATCAATGGAACAGAATAGAGTGCCCAGAAATAAATCCAAGTGTCTACAACAATTAATATTTGACAAAAGGGGCGGCAGCATAAAATGGAGTAAAGATAGCCTCTTCAAAAAATGGTGTTGGGAGATCTGGACAGCTACATGCAAAAAAGTGAAACTCGATCACCAACTTACATCATATACAAAAATAAATTCAAGGTGGATAAAAGATTTAAATATAAGTCATCACACCATAAAAGTCTTAGAGAAACACATTGGCAGGAAAATCTCAGTCATTCCACACACCAACATGTTCACTGATACATCCCCTAAAGCAAGAGCCATGAGAGGAAGTATAAACAAATGGGACCTTGTCAAATTAAAAAGCTTCTGCATGGCCAAAGAAAGCAGCATTAAAATAAAAAGAGAACCAACTATATGGGAAAACATATTTGCCAATGATACTGCAGACAAGGGTTTGATCTTCAAAATATATAAATAACTCACAGGACTCCATTCCAGGAAGACAAAAAACTCAATTAAAAAATGAGTAATAGACCTGAACACACACATCTCCAAGGAAGACATACAAAGAGCCTAGAGACATATGAAAAGGTACTCAGTATCACTAGCCATCAGAGAGTTGCAAATTAAAAACACGATGAGATACCACCTCACACTGGTGAGAATGGCCATCATAAGAAAATGAACAAACAAGTGTAGGAGAGGATGTGGAAAAAAGGGAACCCTAGTGCACTGTTGGTGGAAATGCAGACTGGTACAGCCACTGTGGAAAACAGTATGGAATTTCCTCAGAAAACTAAAAATGAAACTGCCTTTTGACCCAGCAATTGCACTGCCGGGATTATACCCTAAGATCCCTGAAACACCAATCCAAAAGAAACCATGCACTCCAGTGTTCATAGCAGCACAATTTACAGTAGCCAAGTGCTGGAAGCTACCTAAGTGCTCATCAGTAAATGAGTGGATCAAAAAACTATGGTCCATTTGCACAATGGAATTCTACACAGCAGAGAGAAAGAAGGAGCTTCTACACTTTGCTACAGCATAGATGGGACTGGAAAGCATGCTAAGTGAAATAAGCCAGGCAGTGAGGGACAAATACCATATGATATCACCTTTAATTGGAACATAATCAACAAAAGAAAAAAGTAAGCAAAATATAACTCGAGTTATTGAAAATAAGAACAATCTAACAATAGCTAAAGGGGAGTGGGGAGGGAACAGAGGAGAGAAGGGTTTTCAGGAACTACTATGAAGGACACATGGACAAAACCAAGGAGTAGAATGGAAGCAAGGGAGTGAGGTGGGTTTGTCTGGGGTGGGGGGGAATCGTTGGGGGGAAATGCAGACAAGTGTAATTGAATAACAATAAAATAACTATTAAAAAACAAGAATGAATTCAAAATTGATTAAAGGCTTACATGTTAGACTGAAACCATATAAATTCTAGAAGAAAACATAGGCAGGAAAATCTTGGACATTGCTTGTAGCAATATTTTATTGGATATTTCTCCCCAAGCAAGAGAAATAAAAGAGAAAAAAATGAACAAATAGGACTCCCTCAAACTAAAAAAGTTTTGCACCACAAAGGAAGCAGCAACAAAATTTAAAACCCACAAAATGGGAGAACATGTTCACTGATATAACTGTTAAGGGTTAATATCCAAAATTTATAATGAATTTATCATACTCAACACCAAACAAACAAATAACCCAGTTAAAAAATGGGCAAAAGACCTGAATAGATACTTCTTCAAGAAGGACATACATATGGCCAATAAACATATGAAAAGATGCTCAACATCACTAATTATCACAGAAATGCAAATTAAAACCAAAATGAGATGTCATCTTACACCTGTCATAATGGCTATCATCAGTAAATCAACAAACAAGGAGTGCTGGAGAATGTGAAGAAAGGGAAACCCTTTTGCACTGTTGGTAGTGGAGCCACTGTGGAAAGCAGTATGAAGATACAGGAAAAAAATAAAAATGGATCTTTCTTTTGACCCAGTGATTTCACTTCTGGGAATATATCTGAAGGAACCCAAAACACTAATTCTAAAGAGCATAAACAACTCTATGTTCATTGCAGTGTTATTTACAATTGCTAAGATATGGAAGCAGCCTAAATCTTCATCAGTAGATGAGTAGATAAAACAAGTATGGAACATTTACACAATGTAGCTCTACTCAGCCATTATAAAGAAGAAAATTTTACCCTTGTGACAGCATGATAGACCTTGAGACCATTATGCTAAGTGAAATAAGCTAGTCAGAAAAAGTCAACTACCATATGATTTCACTTACATATGGAACCTAATGAACGAACTAAACTAACAAGGAAAATGGGGACAGACTTGTAGATGGAGAGCAGGATAACAGCTATTGGGAACAGGGTAGGTGAAGGGAGAGAGGTATTGAGAAAAAAATGACTCAAGGATGTGTGGACTCAAATGTGGTGATTGCTGGAGGAAGGGGGCATAAAGGAACTAAACAGTAATGAAAAAATACAATAAAGATTAATAAAAAGTAAAAATATAATAATCGCTGGGTCTAGAAGGGAGTATACTGAGGTTGGAAGCAAGACATTCAACTGGCTAGGAAGCTACTGAAGTAAGCTATAGGAGTGACAGAGAGAAACGGAGGGCTTGAGTTAGGGCAGATGGTAACATGATCCTAGGAATACTGCAGCAGGCTTCTTTTCCCCTTTCAAAGAAAGTCTCAGACCTTATTTTTTCTCTGCAGTGTCCCCACCTTACTGCCTCCCTGCATGGCAACCACATGGCCCATGAGCCCACACTGGCAAGGTAAAAATTTCCAAATGGGTCAAACTGGGATCAAGATACCCAATGTGAGTACTGATCGGGGTACAGGGGTGGTGGGTAAAAATTAGATATGATCCTATTATGTGGGCACTCTGAGAAGCCAGCAAAAAATGTGCAAAGACTGACAGAAGAGTAGGGAGATAACTGTGGCAAGTTTGGTGATTACAGTGGCTCTAACCTGACCCAAGAAAAGTGGGACTTATGGATAGGGGACATTGGAGAGAGCTCTAGGCAATGATCGAGAAATTTGACACTGCCAGAAGGGAGAAAAAGGTTATTTCCAGGACCATAAAGATGGTACTCATATAGCAAGAGTGTACTAATGTTTAAAGAAAGCCATGGTTAGCCTTGAATGAGCAGCCTGAGGAAAGCCAGAGACCATAATCTGGCAGCTGATGGGAAGAAAAAGTGTTCTAGAAAGTCAGTGAGGAGACAAGATTACAGAGAAGCAGATATGCTGATGCCTCCATAGGCTGAGAGAAACTTAAAGATATGGGACGAATTTCTAAGGAGAAATTTATATTTTTTGAAGCCTCTCTGGGAGGTTTCATAGAGCACAGAGAGGTGGAAGGATATTGGTGGCAGAGCCTGCTCATTCCTGCTGGAGGGGTAATGAGTGAGGACTGTGGACTGCCCCAAGGAGTGTGTTGAAGAATAAAGGTGTGCAGTGGGCTGCCTGGAGCACCAGCCACATTCTCCCTGACTTTATGACAGTCAGGCACTTTTTCTACACCTCTAACCCCTTGGACCTACCAAAATTCCATCTGCTTATTCATAAGGGGGAATCAGTAAAAGGGTGTGGATGGATCAGTGCAGGAATACACCACTGGCACTAAAACACAAGCCACATGGTTTGAAGCAGAATTGTATTTGTGCATGAGGGGGAGAAAGGGTTACATAGCTGAGAGTCCTGCCCAGTCTGAAAGTCAAATTCTGAATCTATTCTCACAGAATTTACTTTTCTTATTGAAACCTACCTTTGAGTTTGAAGATCTATAAGAGGGTTGGAAAACCATTAAGTAGCCATAGCTTAAGTTTCTCACTAAATAACCAGACAGATTTTAGGTACTGAATAGAAACGTCTCACAGAAAATCATTAAGGAGGACAGGGACTTCCACCAAGATGGAGGTATAGGTGGATGTGCCGTGCCTTCTCACACAACCAAGTTTAGGGACAACTAAATATTAGCATCAGAAAACACAACCAGAACACGGAAAATTGAACTTTTCGGAAGTCCGTTAACAACAAATTCTTCAACCCGACCAGTAAGGGGCGAAACCGGCATCTCGTGAGGGGTTGCACAGAAGGACTGGGTCAGACCCGGGCGCGGAATCCAGACCCTCGAAACCAGACGCACGGGTTCCAAACGCAGGATTGGACCTAGTGAGCGACCGAACAACCCACCGGGTGAGCGACTGCAGAGGAGACAGTGGGGAGGCGGTGCTGCGTGTTGACTGCGGTCGCCTATCTGGGCGCGAGCGGACAGGCGAGGGAGTGGGTGGTTGGACCGGGGCCCCCGGCAGTCCCGTGGCAAGCGGCAGTAGAGGGCCCCGCCAAATCCCCGCTCTGACCATGCCCCCACATACAGCGTCACAACCCAGCGACCTGGGAGTCCAAGGCACCGCTTCTCACATTTAAAGGGCCAGAACAGACCAAAAATGTTGCAGGAAGACCTCAAAGCCCCAGAGATAAATCTAAGCGACGAAGAAATAGCAAAACTCTCAGACGCACAGTTTAAAACACTGGTCATCAGGATCCTCACAGATCTGGTTGATTATACCGACAAATTAGACAAATATATGAAGGCAAAACTAATTGAAATTAATGGAATTGCACAGAAAACCCATAGCGATGAAAAGGAAACTGGGACTCAAATCAATGGCGTGGACCAGAAGAAAGCAAATAATGGCCAAACAGAAAAGAGTCAAGGAGCAAGAATTCAAAGAAATGAGGAGAGTCTTAGGAACCTCCAGGACATCTTTAAACGCTCCAATATCCAAATTATAGGGGTACCAGAAGGGGAAAGTCACAGCCACCAGTGGAAAAATTATTTGAACAAATAATAAAAGAAAATTTCCCCAATCTGGCAAAGGAAATAGACTTCCAAGAAATCCAAGAAGCTCAGAGAGTACCAAAAAAGTTGGACTCAAGAAGAAACACACCAAGGCATATCATACTTACATTAGCCAAAATTAAAATGAAGGAGAGAATCCTAGAAGCAGCAAGAGCTAAGGGGACAATCACCTACAAAGGAGTCCCCATCAGACTGTCAGCAGATTTCTCAAAAGAGACCTTACAGGCAAGAAGGGGCTGGAAAGAAATATTCCAAGTCATGAAATCTAAAGACCTACAACCAAGATTGCTCTATCCAGCAAAACTTTCATTTAGAATGGAAGGACAGATAAGGTGCTTCTCAGATAAGATCAAATTCAAGGAGTTCATCATCACCAAGCCCTTATTATATGAAATGTTAAAGGGACTTATCTAAGAAAAAGAAGTTAAAGAAACATGAACAGTGAAAGAACAACAAGCTCACAGTTATTAACAACCACACCTAAAAGGAAAGCAAACTAAAAGAACAGCTAGATCAGGAGTGGAAACATAGAAATGAAGATCTCAAGGAGGGTTAGCAACAGGGGAGTGGGAGGAGGAGATGGGGGGAGAAGGTACAGAAAATAAGTAGCATAGACAGTAGATAGAAAATAGATGGGGGGGCAAGAATAGCATGGGAAATATAGAACCTAAAGGACTTGAGACACATGGACATAAACTAAAGGGGGGTAATGGTGGGGATGGGGGGGCAGGGTGGAGGGGAAAGAAGGGGGGGAATAGAACAACTGTAACAGCATAATCAATTTAAAAAAATAAATTAAATAAAGAAGAAAAGAAAATCATTAAGGAGGACATCTTTGATTCCCTACAATGAAAGTGAAGAGATGTGACTTCTAGCCAGTTCAGGTATCCTCTAACTACAAGTGCCCAAAAGTAACATATGCCAAATTCAGAGGGAAGGTCCCACCTAGTCCGAGGGGACAGATACCATGCAGCCATTGCCACAGCTCACTGTGTAGGAACGGAATTCAAACTTTTTCAAAGGTCTTAAAATATTAATAATTGATTTAAAAATATTTTTTAATTCTTCACCTGAGGAAGGGGGAGTAGAGAGAGACAGCCAGTGGGAGGCCATTGGAGAGAGATCAAGAGATTGGTGGCCTCCCACAAATGCCCCAACTGGGGATCAAACCCAAAGCCTAGGTATGTGCCCTGACCAGGAAGTAAAAACACAACATTTTGGTGGTTATGGGATAATGCTCCAACCAACTGAGTCACACAGACAAAGCTAATTCAAAATTTTAAAAAAGAGGTATATTTGGGTCAAACCAAAATATTTAATGGCTAAACCCAAGCCCTGGCTTTCAACATTTGTGTTAAAAAACTAGCATAACATTGCTTCCTAAAAATAAGAAAAAAAAGATAAAGGTTTGTGACTAGCTTAAAAGAACATATATTCACCACAAAAACTGTAGTGAAAATATAACTGACCCCCAAACTATAATAATCACTCTAGAGATAGAGTTTAAAAACAAACAAATCCAAACCCCCTGGCAGTTATACATGTTTTATTTTAAAGTAATTATTCTAATCACTCATTTTTAAATGTCTTCTTTTGTTGAAATTGCCAGAGAATTTTGATTCAGTTTGGGGTTCTCTGGTCACTGAAACCAAAGTCTACCGTGTATACTGCCTTTTTCCTTACATGAGATAAGTCAGACTCACTGAATTCAGAAAAAAAAAAAGCTGAGTTTTAGGGAAATATCAAAAGCTTGTGATCCTTCAACCTCACTGTTTACTGCTCAGACTCCCAAAGCCATGGGCACTGTGGTGAGAAAGGGCTGTGGTTCTAACCCCAGCCTTTGGCACCAACTTCTGGAAAGGTACAAACCAGCAACTCAGCCAATGTCTTCTTACCTTGTACATCTGCACATCATAGCATTTAAAGAGCTGGCACATCTCAGGCAATGACATAAGAATGACGGTATCTTGCTTCAGATATTTCCAAAAGGAAGTAAGCAAGTCCTCCACCTGAAGTAAGGAATGGAAGCTATCTCCAAAAACTCATTTTGGTGAAACTGATCCTCCTATATACTTAATCAGCCCCAACTGATAATGGAATGAATTTCATTCTCATTAATGTAAAAGTTAACCTATCAGCTTTTTCACTTTGGTGAAATAATGAGGAACATATTTTCACAAAGTTTTCTGGAAGGGAAAGAGTTTTAACCACAAGGGGGCCTCTGTTGATTATAATAAGATGAGGAAATGGCCAGAGCAGAGTATGGAAATAATCTTCATTGACTGATCGACCCTCGATTACTTTTCAGGTCTGAAAAAGGGTAACAGTACTTAATCAAAGATTTCCTCCTTGACCTTGAGTTAGAATTCACCCAAGGATTGGATAAGAAAAAGGAGCCTGGAGTCATTCTTCACAGTGGTATTCTTTAAAGACTGTTGTGAACGACTTTTATTTAGGAACATGTGGACAAAAAGGGGCCATATATTAACCTGACAAGCTCAGGGGAGGCCTTTGAGGGAACCTTAGAAACTCAGAGACCTAAAGTAACCACAAAGGATGGTCTGAAACTAACACTCATTAATTAAAAGTAGTTTGTGGTGGGTAGTCATGTCCTAGGCTCGTATTTTTTCCTAACAAAGGTCAATCTTTACCTTACTTAAGCCTGTCTATTTTTTAAAATTATTTTATTATTGTTCAATTACAGTTGTCTGTATTTTCTCTCCCGCCACTCCGTCCAAACCCACCACCCTCCCTTGCTTCCATTCTACTCCTTGGTTTTGTCCATGTGTCCTTCATAGTAGTTCCTGAAAACCCTTCTCTCCTCTGTTCCCTCCCCACTCCCCTTTAGCTATTGTTAGATTGTTCTTATTTTCAATAACTCGAGTTATATTTTGCTTACTTTTTTCTTTTGTTGATTATGTTCCAATTAAAGGTGATATCATATGGTATTTGTCCCTCACTGCCTGGCTTATTTCACTTAGCATGCTTTCCAGTCCCATCTATGCTGTAGCAAAGTGTAGAAGCTCCTTCTTTCTCTCTGCTGTGTAGAATTCCATTGTGCAAATGGACCATAGTTTTTTGATCCACTCATTTACTGATGAGCACTTAGGTAGCTTCCAGCACTTGGCTACTGTAAATTGTGCTGCTATGAACACTGGAGTGCATGGTTTCTTTTGGATTGGTGTTTCAGGGATCTTAGGGTATAATCCCGGCAGTGCAATTGCTGGGTCAAAAGGCAGTTTCATTTTTAGTTTTCTGAGGAAATTCCATACTGTTTTCCACAGTGGCTGCACCAGTCTGCATTTCCACCAACAGTGCACTAGGGTTCCCTTTTTTCCACATCCTCTCCTACACTTGTTTGTTCATTTTCTTATGATGGCCATTCTCACCAGTGTGAGGTGGTGTCTCATTGTGTCTGTTATCTTTTTGCATCTATGATAACATACCTTTGGAATGTCAAGGTCACTTTTCTTTTTCCAAACCCCTTGGGCACAAGTTGAGACTACAAATCTCCTCATTGTTATCACTATCATGTTAATTGTTGACTGTTAACTATCCTGTACTCATGTGTCTAAAAGAAATATGAATATTAGAGAGTAAATATTCATTTGGAGAGTAAAGAGAGACTGCATGTGACAATTACCTGGGAATAAAAATATCTCCACTTCTTTATTGAATACCTTTAGCAAGGGCTAATATGTACTATTGTCTTTCTAATAAAAAGGCTCTATTTTAATTCTTAAAAAAATAAATATGCATTTTATTTTACTTTTTATCGAATCCCAGAGTTCCCCATCCCCCAAGTGCTTTGCTTTCTTCCACCTCCCTAATCTATTACAAATTGATTTCAGGTAATCCCTTTATGTCTCCTCCTTTGATTGTAATATATAAATAAGGTGCTAAAATGCCATTCTCAGGAGCATTTCTCAATTTATTGAGATTTTGCTTCCTGGCAATTGTTGTCAGTTTGTCTCAAATAAAATCACCAAAAATTCTTGATAGGTTTGAATGTTTGTTACATTAACAGACAAAATAGCAGCTTTCTTTTCTTTATTTTCTCCCATGTTCACTTTTCAGATTCTATGATTGAACCAGGTGGCCAAACTGAGCTGCCAGTTAATAAAGACTTTTAAATATTGGGGATTTCTGCAGGCTCTAGTATTCTAAGGCATGGCACCCCTGACACAAGAACTCGGCAGGGACTTCAGGCAAGATACCACTTCCCTTCTGTAGGCTGTCAAGGAAGTTGGGGCCAACTCTTAGGTTACCTGATCTAAAACCCTGTTATTAGGTGTGTGAATTCCAGAGAAGCCATCTCCAAAGAGACTCATAGTTATTCAACAACAACAAAAAATGCTGTAGTGAGACAAGTGGAATATATTAACCCTTTCCTTCTCAGGTTGGTAATTTTGGAGTATGACATTTTGGGGTTGATGGGTTTGAATGAGACATTAGTCATGGGCTCATCTCTGCTGATTCCCTCACTCCCTGTGTCCAAGTGATCAAGTCCTGTTGCATCTACTTCAGAAACATTCCTCTCTAATTTCATTGCCACTGCTCCTGTTATGACAGCCTTCATTGTTTCTTACCCTGCCTATGACAAAACCTCCTGACCACCCTTTCTTCTCCAATATGGCAATCTTTGTCACTGCTCCCACACTCTTCTCAATAAGTCATGATTCTTCACAGGGCATGCAAGGCCTTTTCTAGCACCAGCCTACTTTCCTGCCTCCCCTTTAGCTTCTCTCCTTTAGATGATGATCCTTTTGTTATTTGTCTATGAACATCTTGCTGCCTTTGCACACACTTACTATTCTACCTGGAATCTCTTTCCCACTCCATTTTAGTCTGTTGAACCCCTGCTTTTCTACTAGAGTCCAGCCGCATGTCCTCCTCTTGGGAGTCAACCCCTGCCATCTCTGCTTCTGGGCACCCACAACAGTCAAATCATACTGCTATTCTACAACTTACCATACTGTATCATATATATTGGCTTATATTGTTTCTTTTAGTACTGGATTACCAACTTATCAAGATTTATGGACACTACTAGTTCTGGAAATGATACTGGTCATAGGGTAAGAATTAAGTTAATATTAATGAGTGAATGAAGAAAATGAGAAATATAACAAATATCCAATGTGGGTGGATATTTTAAACATTGCATTAATAGGACAGGGGCCATTTTGAAGACATCTTGGTCTCTATCTCACTATTATGCTTTACACTGAATATGTAGTTACTAAATGTACTCATGCCGAATGAATATTATCACCCAAAGCTGAAATATTTAGAACAGTAAAGCATTGGACAAGTTTTAATTTAAATGTGTACTTGTTTCCCTACATTTCCATTTTTTTACTGCAAAAGATAAAACTCAGAATAGTTAAAGGATTTATTCATTTTTTTCCACAATCTAGTCATTGATACAGGGTGCAGCCGGGGGCCCCAAATAGGGATTTATAAAATGGCCAGAACTCAGAGTGTTGAGAAAATATTTAAAAAATATATAGGATGTCCTCACCTCTGGCAAGTCTGAACCACTGGGATGGGACACATGGAGCAGAGCCATTGAGAGCTGTTCTTAGTAGCAAGTTTTGCAACTAATCTCAGGCATGGTCATTTAACATAACTATAACTATAACTATACCAACTATAACTATAACAACTATAACTATAACTATAACTAACTTATAACAACTATAACACTATAACTATAACAACTATAACTATATATATTACTAATTATGCCATTACCATTGTCCTGTTTCACTCCCTTCATTCCCCTCCACCCTGCACAACCCCTCCCCCACATTCCCCCCTTTAGTTTATGTCTAGGTGTCACAAGCTCTTTAGATCCTATATTTCCCATACTATTCTTGCCCTCCCCCCTATTATATACCTATCATCTATGCTACTTATTCTCTGTACCTTCTCCCCCCTTTTCCTCCTCCCACTCCGCTGTTGCTAACCCTTCATGTGATCTCCATTTTTATGGTTCCGCTCCTGATCTAGTTGTCCTCTTAGTTTGCTTTTGTTTTAGGTGTGGTTCTTAATAACTGTGAGTTTGCTGTCCTTTCACTGTTCATCTTTTTTATCTTCCTTTTCTTAGATAAGTCCCTTTAACATTTCATATAATAAGGGCTTGGTGATGATGAATTCCTTGAATTTGACCTTATCTGAGAAGCACTTCATCTGCCCTTCCATTCTACATGAAAGCTTTGCTGGATAGAGCAATCATGGATGTAGGTCACTTCCCCAATTTGGCAAAGACAATAGACTTCCAGGAAATACAGGAAGCTCAGAATCCCAAAGAAATTGGACCCAAGAAGGAACACACCAAGGCACATCATAATTACATTAGCCAAAATTAAAATGAAGGAGAGAATCCTAGAAGTGGCAAGAGATAAGGGGACAGTCACCTACAAAGGAGTTACCGTCAGACTGTCAGCTGATTTCTCAAAAGAGACCTTACAGGCAAGAAGGGGATGGAAAGAAGTATTCCAAGTCATGAAATCCAAAGACATAAGTATAACTTTTAACTGGTTTCATGGATATGTTGAATAGCTGCGGCCATGCTTTGAGCCAGGGAGATGGGAGTGACTTCAACCCATGATGTAACTTCCCCTGGTTACAGCACCTGAGTAATAACTAAGAGATGATTGGATCCATGTCATAGGGCCACGCCTGCCTGGACTTACTATGGCAGCCCAGAAAAGCTGGGAAAATATGGGAATGCTGGCAGGTGTAGCTGATTGTGGGAGGACTCAGATGGGACTGCAGAGGAAAATTGGCCCTGGGACTTAAACCTAGGTGTGGTAGCTATGCAGGAGAGCACCATGTGGCTTTGGTGAGGGCTGGGATCATGCAGCTTTGGGGTGCTCCCTTTTGCCATGTAGCTTAGGAAGCAGGAGAGATCTTCGTGGGAAGAAAAGGGGTGAAAGGACTCTTGCTGGTGAGCCATGAGAAGGTGCCACATGGTTTTGAATTAACTGGAGATTGCCGTGGCAACACAGCTGATGCTGCTGGGAACCAAGGGGGCTATCTGAGCCACAGACTTCTATGTCTTTTTCTGAGATACTGTAACCTGAACTGGGTAGAGGGGGAAGGAAGGACTGTGTGCATTTGTGGGTGTTCTAAGGGACTTTGGGATCTCAAGAGTAATTAAGTCATTACTCTTAAGTTTGTATAACTTTTGAATAAATAATTCCTTTCCTTTTCACCAATCTCTGGCATTAAGAGATGTAATTTCCTCATGTCAGGCAAGGCAAACCTAGTACAGGGAGACCCCACGAGAAGGGGGAGGTCCATTTGGTAACAGTATATTATTCTCCCCCTCCACGGGTCTGTTCTGTAATATCATGATTATATCCACATCAAATCACCCTACTTCAAAGCCTTGCTTCTTTTTCAGTTAGTATGCATCAATAAAATAACTCTTTAGCATTATTGAAAATCTCAGAGTGAATAATATTACCAATACTTTCAAAAGATGCTGTAATTAGGATCTAAAAAATCGCTGAATTATATTTAAAGCATAAAATTAGATATATTAGCACCTGGGGAAATTGCCAAATGATTAAACTGAATAAAAATATCACCCTCAAGAATTCATTAACTATAAAATAGCTGAATTCTAAGCCCTTCGGTGCAGTGAATTACCTCTCGGCATCTCTTGAGGGGTCTTTTCAGTAAAATGGTTAATAATGAGTCATAAACATTTGTATTTTATAGATAAAATCTTACCCTTTCAAGTTCTTGGTTCCTCATCTTCCATAAAATGTCTTGGCAAGAGTTGCAGTATTCATCAGCAAGAAAAGACATTTAAGAAGGAGGTGAAAAATTATTTCAGTTTGCAGGCTACTTCAAGAATGAACTTGCTCATCAAAGGCCATTCTGAAGTCCTTGGAGGCTGTTGCACTTCTGATATGACAGTGGTTGAGTATCTGTAAAGTAATGTATAATTTATTGACCTAAAACTGATGTACCTTCAGTTTAAATATCATAACTCCAGGGCCTATACCACCCTTTGTAAAGGTCATCAATCATTGACATTTTTCTCCTTAAACCCTGATTTTTCTCCTTCATAACCCCAGTCCCAGGTTCTAGAAAATCCACATTCTCTTCCCCTCTCAGTTACAGAATGCTCTCACTCTAGAAGATGACAGAGTGGTCCCAGGTGGAGCCTTTCTATAGAACAAGAGAGGAAACCTGAATTTCCTGACCACCACCAAGCCCAGGAAAAAGGTTGTTTTTCACAGACCTGGGTCAAGGCATATATTACTCATCTAGTACAGCAATTGTAATAGGTGAGTAAAAAGATGCTTACTGCCTGAGGTATCAAAGACATAAAAAGATAGTCTCCCCAGGGTGCAAGCCCACCATTTTATAGGAGTACTTCTTTGCCAGTTCTTGCTCCCACAATAAACATCTTCTGAATTCAAACACAATCTTATTGACTCTGTTATCAGTAAATAATTTTCACACTAGAAACAATTTACATTATTTTTTTAATAAAATTTATTTTCTCACATATAAACTATGCAATAATCATATCACTACTATAGGTTAATGTTCTATATAATTTATCTATACCTCTTCATACTTTATTGATCCCAGCAAATTTCTCCCTTATTTCATTTCAAATGATACTAACCTTTCTTTATAATTCTATTAATTATGGTAAGCAAGAAAGAGTTAGGACTATATTAGCCAGATGTATCACTCTTGTGGTCATGTATTACAAGTGCTGTATAGTTAGATGCAGTGAAAATATTATCTAAAATTTAATGCCACAAATATATTTTCACAACTCCTGTCCACCAAATTGTCCCTCCTTGAGTTGTTATATCTGTAAATGGCTAGTTGTATCATAAATCTCAGGTCCGAACTAATGAGGAAAATGAGAAGTACAGACTTTCCTTTACAAGAACAATTTATGGGAAGGTAAATAATTTCTATTAAGGAGGAAAGAAGGTAACCATTAATGATTAAAGCCAGTATTTTTCAAGTGCGGTCCTGAAATCATCGATATTAGAGTCCGTGGGGATGCTTGGGGTTCATCTCCTTAGAGTTCTAGTAAATCAGATGAGCCAGAAATCTAATTTTAACTAGCTTCCCAAATGAGCCATATGTACACTCAAATTGAGAACATCAGCTCTAGGCAGACTGTTCTTTGTCCCACTCTTCATGAATCTGTACATTGCCACATGGCAAATGCAATATAGTTTCATGTGTTCAGAAGAAGTTATCTGAAAATACACTATCATAGTAATTAAAAATTATTACAAGGGGAATATAAGTAAGCTTATATTAAAACAATAAAAAGTAAATTTATGTGTCTCTGAAATTAATTCCCTCAGGCCTCTTCCTGGGAACAGAACTGATATTTCAGTAAACAAAAAAATTTAAATCATAAGCTGAAATATTTTCTTCAAAATATAAACAATCAGAAACAAAAATGTGTGGCAAATAACTCCACTGAAGTTTGAATTTCTGCAGGAGAACACACTCAGTAATGAATTAGAGGGATTCCCACACTAGAAAAGTCATTCATCAAAATAACAAAGAAAAAAGTGAGAAATTCTATTTAGCTTTTCCAGGTATATTAAGTGCATTTGGAATTTTTAACAGATCCAGAAATGTCACAGAAATTATTATCATTCATTTATTCTATCAACCTTCAGTGAGCACATATCATGTGGCAACTCCTATAGATACAATGGGGGATCCTTTCGGTCATGCCAACCCCTTTTGGCACCATCTGCCTCCCCTGAGTTACTCCACCAATTCTCCTCAATACTTTTGTTTTTCCTGTATCCTTAAAGATAATACTCCCAGAATTACCACCCTATGGCAAATGTGTCCCGTTAATTTCCTTCTAAAGATGCCTCAATGGTTATTACAATTTTCTTGATGAAATCCAAATTCCTCAGCCTGGCATTGACAAGTTGTCTATTATCTGGGCCTCACTCAGACAGAGTCTCTCGTTCCACAACATTCTCACCTCTGACTCCTCACTGCCCATATACCTTTCAGCACAAATGCAAGCTAACATCCTCAAGATGAATGTCTTCTACAGAAGGATCATTTTGACCCTTCCAGAGCTAGCTCAAGGGCAGTGTGGCAGGCAGAATAATGGCTGCAAAACTTCCACATCCTAATCCCTGGCAAAAGGGACTTTGCAGATGTGATTAAGGATAAGGACCTTGAGATGGGAAGATGATGCTGGATCATCCAGTTGACCCCCAATACAATAAAAAGGTCCTTAAAAATCAAAGGACCTTTCCCAGGTGCAGAGAATCAAATAAGTCAGAATGGAGAAGGACTCAGCCAGCCTTTGACATCTTTGAAAACTGAGAAGAGCCACAAGGAACAAGGCAGCCTCTAGAAACTGGAAAAGACAAGGAATAGATTCTCCCTCAAGTCTCCCAGAAAGAACACAGCTCTGCCAACCCTTTGCTCTTAGCCTGGTGAGAAATCTTTTGGACTTGTGACAAGTAGAGCTGGAAGATAATAAGTTTGTGCTGCTTTAAGCCATTACATTTGTGTTCATTTATTATAGCAGCAATATAAAATGGACACAGGCAATGTTTTCTGGAGAGGCACACAAAACTTTGGACTTCCCAAACTTCTGACAGCCTGTACTGTGCATTGAAGAGAACAATTTTTTCATGTCTACATGAGTTCTCCACCTATAAAATGGTACTCCACTCAAGGAAAGAGACCATTTTTTTTGTTGTTCTTTATGTTTTTAGTTTTTTCCATATCTCATTCAGCCTTCAAGAGTGCTCGTCACAAAACAGGGTTGTTTTTTAACCTGAAACTTTTTTTTTTTTTTTTTTTTTTGCTGGTGCAAGAGGAAAGAGGTTTATTCAGGTGCCACACAACCTGGGAGAATGGTGGACTCACATCTCAAAGAACACGTAACTTTTTTTAAAAGATTTTATTTATTTATCTTTAGAGGGGAAGGGAACAGAGGGGGGAGAAATATCAATGTATGGTTGCCTCTTGTGCATCCCCTGCTGGGAACTGGCCTGCAACCCAGGCATGTGCCCTGACTGGGAATTGAACTGGTGACCCTTTGGTTCATGGCCCAAACTCAATCCACTGAGCTACACCATTCAGGGCACAAAACAGGTTTTTAAAACATGTCCATTCATTTGTCAACAAGACGGCATCAAAGTGCTAGCAACTGTCTTGGCCAACTAAAATAAAATTTAACTCATGATGTCATAGCTATTAACAGTTCTGGTCTCTTAATTCAAAGAGCTATAACTGTACTATAAAGACACTTTCACACAGATTTATTGTTCAAAACTTATGCAACCTTTTTAAAAAATTAATTTATTATTATTATTTTAAATTTTATTTAGTTATTTTTCAAGTACAGTTTTTTGTCTATTTTTCCCATCCAAGCCCACCCCCCGTCCCGTGCTCCCCGCCTCTCCCCCAACCCTCCAGCCCTCGTCCCGGCATCCCTCACATTTGTTCCCCCAAATCCCTACCCCTTCCCCCTTAACTTCCCTTCCCTCTCCCCTCTGGTCACTGTCCCCTTGTTCTCTATTTCAGTGTCTTTGTTTTTTATTCTGCTGGCTTGTTTGTTTTGTTGTTTAGCTTCCTGTTAAAGGTGAGATCATACGGTATTTGTCTTTCAACACCTGACCTATTTAACTCAGCATAATGCTTTCCAGTTCCATCCATGTTGTTGCAAAGGGTAGGAGCTCCTTCTTTCTCTCTGCTGCATAGAATTCCATTGTGTATACGTACCACAATTTTTTGATCCATTCATTTACTGATGGGCACCTAGGTTGCTTCCAACTCTTGGCTATTGTAAATTGTGCTGCTAAGAACATTGTGGTGCATAGGTTCTCTGAAATTGATGTTTTAGGATTCTTGGGATATAATCCTAGCAGTGGAATTGCTGGGTCAAAAGGCAGGTCCATTTTTATTTTTCTGAGAAAATTCCATACTGTTTTCCATAATGGTTGTACCAGCCTACAGTCCCACCAACAGTGAACTAAGGACCCCTTTTCTCCACAACCTCTCCAACATTTGTTGTTTGTTGCTTTACTTATGATAGCCATCCTGACTGGTGTAAAGTGGTATCTCATTGTGGTTTTAACTTGCATCTCTCTGATAGCTAACTATATTGAGAATATTTTCATGTGTCTCTGGATCCTCTGTATGTCCTGCTTGGAGAAGTGTCTGTTCAAGTCCTTTTCCCATTTTTTAATTGGGTTATTTGTCTTCTTAGAGTGGAGTCGTGTAAGTTCTTTGTATATATTGGAGATTAAACCCTTGCCTGAGGTATCATTGGCACTTATGTTTTCCATTACACTTGGTTGTACTTTTAATTTAATACTGTTTTCTTTAGCCACACAGAAGCTTTTTATTTTGATGAGATGCCATTTATTTATTCTTTCCTTTATGTCCTTTGCTCTAGGGGACATATCAGTAAAAAAGGTGCTGTGTGAAATATCTGAGATTTTCTTGTCAATGTTTTCCTCTAGAACTTTAATAGTGTCACGGCTTATATTTAAGTCTTTTATCCACCTTGAATTTATTTTGGTGTATGGTGTAAGTTTGTGCTCAAGTTTCATTTTTTTGCATGTAGCAGTCCAGTTCTCCCAACACCATTTGTTGAAGAGGCTATCGTCACTCCATTTTATGTTATTGCCCCCTTTGTCAAATGTTAATTGACTGTAGAGAGTTGGGTTGATTTCTGGGATCTCTGTTCTTTTCCATTGGTCTATGTGCCTGTTTTTATACCAGTACCAGGCTGTTTTGATTACAGTGGTCTTGTGATACAGTTTGATATCAGGTACTGTGATCCCTCCTACTTTGTTCTTTTTTCTCAAAAGTGCAGCTGCTATTCGGGGTCGTTTATGATTCCAAATAAATTTTTGAAGTCTTTGTTCTATGTCTGTGAAATATTCCATTGGTACTTTAATAGGTATTGCATTGAATCTGTATATTGCTTTGGGTAGTATGGACATTTTGATGATGTTAATTCTTCCAATCCATGAACAAGGTATATGTTTCCATTTGTTTGTGTCTTCCCTGGTTTATTTCTTCAGTGCTGTGTAGTTTTCTGCATACAGGTCTTTTACCTCCTTGGTTAGGTTTATTCCCAGATATTTTATTTTTCTTTTTGCTATATCGAATGGGATTTTTTTCTTGATTTCTGCTTCTGCTGTTTCATTGTTAGTATACAAAAATGCCTTTGATTTCTGGATATTGACTTTGTATCCTGCTGTTTTGCCACACTCATTAATTAGTTCGAGCAGTTTTTGGTAGAGTCTATAGGATTTTCCATGTACACTATCATGTCATCTGCAAACAGTGACAGTTTTGTTTCCTCCTTTCCTATTTGGATGCCCCTTATTTCCTTGTCTTGTCTGATTGCTGTGGCCAAAACTTCCAAAACTATATTAAATAGAAGTAGTGAAAGTGGACATC